TTCTTTTTGTGTTGTGCTTAACAATAATTTTTCTTTTGTATGTTATTTGTGCAATGCAGCTAATATGATCGAGGGAAATTGCTCGTCAAATTGCCTGTGACATTGATGCGACGCATATTCAGTCATCAGTGCATTTCCCTAATCCAGTTTTACTCATTGGTGCTAGTAATTAACGTAATGGAGCACAATCATTGGCCAACTAGCTAGCCTTTGAGAAAAATTGAAATTTCACATACTGGTTGTACTCTTGGCAGTTACTTGAATTTGGGGACCCTTTTAGAATCAAAATTCTTCTTTTCCCTTCTGATGAAAAATTACAGTCTGAACCCAAGCGGGATATCCTCCCAGACTCAATGGAGAGTTACAACATCCTTCTCCCCGACAAAGAGTTTTTTCCCACTCCAATAGAAGATGATTTTCTATTTGACTTGGTCCTGTGCGATCACTATGAGTTTATATGACAATAATGGAATGCATACATATAATTACTCAAACCAGAGCTTATCCTAGAGTACTTGTATTTTTGCCCTCTTTTTTCATGTCTCATACTGCGGCAATAGTATCACAACCCTTCAGACCTCGAAGAAACCGAAGCCGAGGAATAAATATAATCCAAACTCGCCCATCTACATGTCCAGCAAAGAGCTGAGTCAAAACATACTAGTCATGGTAACCTGAGTTGGAGTAACCTAAGAAAAAACACCCAAAATTAACGTTGTCTTGTCTCAGTTCTGAAAAATACAAACTATCTTCGATAGTCTCATTTCAAAGTAACTATTAAAATAACCTCTGGATTGATGAAATGTCTAACCAAGATTTTTTTCAGTTCTGAGAACCAGGCAACTTTTTTAGGTATTTTACTCAATAGCCAGATTTTTAAATGATCAAGAGCAGAATGTTTCGGATTGAATTATCTGAAACAGATCTGGTCATTGTAACTTTGATTGTAACTCTAACTTTGATTTCAAATAAAATATTAAATTTTGTTCTCTTATTGTGTATTTCTGGTTCGTTTTTGTTTATTTCCAAATTATGGTATTAAGCCTTGGTGCCAATACTAATTATTTACGCCATAAAAACATTGGCTCAAACTAATTAGTTGGTCGACAAAAGCTGCCCATCCAAATTTGCTCAAAACCCTCGCGTGGCCTAGGAAAATACGAAAGAGCAGCTAGAGCTGAATCGAATAAAAATTCATCCAAAGCAGAGGCAGAAAAAGCCAATCTGTCCCATTGGTGTTATTTAATCGTCACCTTCAGAACAGAGAAGAATGGAAAGCAGGAAAAATGTTCAAAATGATTTTTCAGTATACTCGTACCACATACCTGAAGTAAGCGAATGTGAGATCGAGATCACTGATACAAAATTTTAGGGGCATAAAATTCAGAGGTTGAAAATATATATATACGAGAAGATGAATATTTCCCCTTTATAAAAATACTTGGCTTCTAGTTGGCAGATTCTTGACTTTGAATCTTATTTGGTGCTGTAGCTCGAGGTTTTTGGAAACAGATTGTATTTATCCACTTCGGAAACAATGAACATAATGGGCTATAGGAAACGACTTTTTAATCCATTGACAGACATGGATTCGATGATCAATCAGATTGATCAATTACTAGAAGCAGGAAAGAATAGTCAATAAATTTTTTGTTATCATATTTTCATTGAAGAGCGATTTTCTCGTCACGTCCTTCGTGTTCTATCATTTTTGATGTGTAGTGTGTGGCAGGAAAGCAGGATGAACTGGCCTGCAACTTTCCCATCTAAAATGGCAAAGCTACCACTATATGTCCCGACAGTCCCATCTCTTGTCAGGCTTGGTAACTTCACTTGAACTGGTTTCATTTTTTGACAAACGATGAACACATTCTTATTATACTGTACGTGGCATTCCCAGTCCTGTTTGATAACAAGAAAAATAAATTCATTACCGAAATTGAGAAATTACTACCGGTAGCAATCAAGGCAAAGAAACTATCCGAACTAACCAAATCCGACGAGGAAGCAATAGAAAAGGCGAAAGCGCGATCGAAACGCCCGAAAGACGGATTATTGAAATCCAAAGGACGAAAACATACTTATAGCAGATGACAACGCATCCACTTCCAGCTCCAAATTTAAATCATTGGCAGAAAAGTCAACCAAGAGAGTCGAGCGTAAAAGTAAGTGTACTCTGGTTCAATATTAGTGCTTTCATGTTTCTGCTTTGACATTCTGAAAAACAGTATCCTCGCATCCTTATCAAACAACTTCAAACGGGGCTGCAACTATAGGTTACAGTTTTAATTTGTATGAAGACCAAAAACCTATTGGGAACATTTGCTCGCGGCCTTGGCAATTAGTCGACAGTCAACAAAACTCCACATCTTCATTTCTTCTGCCACATGCAAAAAATGCTAGGCAATTCTTTTCATTTTGTAAGAACAATAATCTAATATTTCATACATGCAAAGCGCATCAAAAGCTATCTTACATTTGACTGCTTCATCACCATCATGGTTATGTTAAACTCGAACTCACAGTTGAACCATTCACTTTCAACATACAGTGTGGTAGGTACTACATACAAACTATAGGTTTGGATATAGGCCTTATAAAATTAGGAAAGTATACTACTACACCCTGGCATTCTAGGTTCATCCTATAAGCCCCCTAATA